TTTTTTTGTAAATACGATTAAAAAACACTTTGCCTATAAGTTACATCTTTTTCAAACTCAATTTTATGATTTTATCTAGTTTTTTAATTTAAAACATTAATATGGCGATGCTATTATTAGATGACAGTTTTTGTAATAAGGGATAACCTTCTATTTTTCTTAATTCTTCTCTATTTGAACTTGAAATTTTGAATTTGGAGTCTTAGACTCTTTACTATTTTAGACACCCCTTAAGGGCACATATGACTATGTTATCATTAAGAGATGTTTAAAATGACGTGTTAACTAATAAGAGTTCGAAAATCAAAACTAGAGGTTTTGAATTCAAATGCTAATATGAGTGATGAGAAGAATGACTATTCTTTGTTGCATACTTGTACTGTATACAATTTACACCTCAATCTTATAATAAGTCAAATTCATCTCTAAACTCATATAGCTCTTACTAATCAAAGAATTGTAATTTTTGCAATTCTATTAGTTTAGATCATGAAACGCTTTTATATATAATGAGAAAGAATTTATTTATATATAAGTTTTACAAATTATACATACATAAATTTTTATTATTTATTTCTCCACTTTTAATGGTTGAGATTTATTACGATTTTTTAGATTAAAAATAATTATTTTTAATAAATATAAATAAATTTCAACCATTAATTAAAGTAGAGAGGTAAATAATTGAGATTTTGTGTGAAGTATAGTGTATAGGAATTATGTATAAGTTTATATGTAAATGTAGTATGTAAAACTTATACATAAATAGATCCATACACATACACACATACACACACATATATATAGAGGGATTCATTCACACACATGTATTATATATTATATTTATATAATAATTCTTCTCTCCATTCTTAATGATTGAAATTTATTATGACTTTTAAGGTAAAAAAATAATGATTTTTAATATATATAAATAAATCTCAATCATTTAGAGTGAAGAAATAAATAGTTGAGATTTTGTGTAAATATAGTATGTAATGCTTGTATAAGTGTAGTGTGTAATATTTGTGTAAATAGATTCATATTTTATATATACTTTCTTTGTTTATTTTTAATAAACTTAATTTGATTTTTTAATTTTTAAAACATGAATTTTAAATAAAAATTTAACAATCTATATAAATAACAATTGAAATTTTTTTGTCCTTATATA